TCCCGCCCGCCGCCGCTCCGGCATCGCCCTCCCGCCGCTGGCAGGTCTGCGGGCTGCCGGCGGGGCTCCCCCCGGGACCGGCCCCCCGCTGGTTGTCGGCGACATCCCTCCCCCCCCTTCTTTAATTTTTCTTCTGTTGAAACATGCAGCTCTGACCGACTCTAGGATAAACTCTGAGCGAGCTCTGTTATTGGCTTTGAGTCAGAAGTGTCTGGAAGCCTTAATGAAAACCAAGTGTAAGGCAAGTCTCAGCCACCTGTCCCCGGGATCCCCAGCCAAGCGCTCTGGGCTTCCATTAATCAATGGATCTGCCTCTTGGAAAGTGTCTTTTGCATGCTGGACCTCTACCCTGGGGCGATCGCAAAGCGGAGTTGGGGACCTGGAAGCCCTCTGGTAATTTCTCTAAGCCAGATACCAAAGCCGGGCTGGCGTTGCCGGCAATTCTGCATTTCCAAAACTGCTACAAAAGCCCTTGCAAGAAGAAAAAAGGGGTAGGAAAGAAGCTCTTTATGTTGCAGGTCTGCAGTCCTGCCCCCTCTCCCCAGGAGCAGCACCTCTCCCACCTCCCTGCTTCCCAAAGATACTGTCTAGTTACTTTTCAAGGGAAATTAGCTTAGGGGAGAATATTTTTTTTTTTCTTACAGACATGAGCTGCTTTGATTGCCTGGAAGCATGATTTCCTGAAACCTGCTCCTTTCTGGCTCTTGCAGTGAGGTTCACAATAAAACATATTGTGGTTTTGAGCTGGGTTTTATTTAAGAAAATGCCATTCTGGGTTACTCTCTTTCATGAGGCAGATGGAGAAAGAGATGAAAGGCTCACACTTGGGATACTTCATTTCTGCTTTTTAATTGCGGGTGGTTTCTTTTCTATAAGAACAGGCTTCTTCCCTGGGAATCAGTGGCAATTGGAGTGGAACAAATGAAAAAAGGAAAAGTAATGGCTGTTAATTGCATTTTTTTTTCGGTTTATGAAACCTTTCATTTCATTCTTCTAGGAGCAATTCTGTAAATGGGGATATTTAAATGCACTGCTTTTACAGATCCAGGGACACTTCTTGTTACTCGCTGCCTTTTGTGCAATGCTTGCTTTGTAAGCCACACTCTCTTCCAAGACAGGCTTGGAGCCTCAGCTCGCACTGGTGGTATCAGGTGCAGCCACTGGGAACCAGTGCAAAGTTGTGGTTTGGAAGATAGCAACCGAGATGGGATGTGAACCTGTACCGTGTTAATGCTTCCACTAATGAAATGTAACTTCAGGATCAAGCCCTTGCAGTTACTGGTGGTCGGTGTCACTTAACTGGCCAGGAATGCTGAAGAAGACGTGTGCTGTGTAACCCAGGCTGCAGAGCAGCCCCCGCTCTTGACGGGCGATGGGGCTGAATGGGAGTTTTGCTTAGCGCGGTGTTTGGTTGCTTTCTAGGATGAAGATATCTAAGTGGAGGTGGAGCAGCATCGCCATCAGTGCGCGATCCCAGCTGAAAGGCACCCTGGCCCTTCTTCTTGTGGGCAACGTTGCCTTTGTGATAGCTCAGGTAAGCGTGTCACCTTGCTGGGGGTTCTCTGGGCTTTAAAATGGTGCAGCATCTGGGATGGGTAACCCCAGACTTGCAGGACTGGTCTGTGCATGCATCAGGTCTCCAGCAAGCATGAGGACATATGACTTGGCTTAGCTCTTTAGTCTGGGCTCAGCCTAAGTTGTACCTTCTGTGGCTAAGAGTGTGCATAGATCGTTTCCAGGGCTCTGGAAGGCCATGCCCTGCTCCTGGGTGAGCACCGCTTCCTCGGTCCCTGCAGTGGTTGGAGCTTGCACTTACTTTGCATGGAACACTA